AGTGCAGGACACACACTGTGGGACAGACTTCAGAGATCAGAATCCTTTCCTGCATCCAGACCCTGCAGACATTCCCTGGGGAAGGACCAGTCTGACGGGACAACTCAGCAGGGAGACATCAGTCTCAGACCAGCACCCCTGGGCCCTCCCCATAGACATGACCCTGAGATGAGCCTGTGGAACTCGGTCAGGGCCTGGTCTGAGGGACTCTTGGGATCCTCATAGAGAAGCTCAGGCCCAGGGCTCCTGAGTCCAGGCAACCATGGGTAGCCCGTGGCCAGGGCTGGGCTTTGGCCTCCTGGGCAGGGCTGACTGGCTATGACAATTTACCAGCTGTCTGAGGGTCAAGGCTCCTGGGGCTGGTCACCAGTCTGGGCTGGACCCAACAGCTTCATCTGGGCAAAGACAGAGCCAAGTCCTTCACCTGAGACTTACCATAGAAAGGAAAGATGGACCAGCTTCACAAGTCAGAGGGGCAGGTCTACAGCCATGAGCTCATTTCACCCACTGACTCCTGACTCCAGTCTTGTCATGGCACAGGGCTCACATCCTCCCTAGACCCTGGGACCTTCCCAGGGGGAGCTGGCCAGACCAGTGCTGTCTGAGAGGTGGACAGCCTGTTCCACATGCACTTGCGCCCCTCATGATGAGACCATTACGAGAGTTGGAGTCCCTTGGGTGGTGAGATATACAAGCCAGACTCACTTACATGCTGCCCAGTTTGAACAAATTAGATCAAATGCTATTTGTGTTTCCTGAGGCCTAGTGAAAAGGAAGAAAGTATTTCACATGCCTTGTTAGGCATCTCCCCATTTGCCTGACTGTCCACAGGAATTAGGCATGGGGACCCTTCTAAATTTACTAAATTACACACCTCACTTCTCTAAATACAGTGTCGTTTATCCCTTTATGTAAAGGGGCCAGCTCCTGCTGGTGTAACTCATTATTTCCAGATCCTTTCCTGAATTCTGCTCCATCATTTTGGTGGTCACTAGCTCTGGGCAGAACTTCCCACCTTGTGGCCCTGGGGCCAGAGAACTAGGCTGACCCCCAGACCTGCTCCTGTCTCCCTATGGTATTTCTTCCCAAACACCCAGGCCCAGTGTCACCCAGCTCTAGGATGTCCTTGTATACTGAGGCCTCAGAGAAAACGCCCCTCAGCTAGGCGTGTAGGGCTGTGCAGCTGGAAGGGACTCAGCACCCACATGTCCCAAGGTTGCTCAGGCAGTCAGAGTTCAGGGAAGGGCCAGGAGTGGCAGCAGGGAATCTCTGACTCCAGGCCCTGTGTCTGTCTACAACCTAAAGCTGGGGCTTAATTCATACTTGGGAAAGTCTGTGAGTCTCCCAGACAGAGCAAGTGGCCTCACCTGACCCTCTGTCAGACAAACCTACTTCAGTCTTTTAAGGACATGGTAGGCTGAGAGGTGACAGATGCCAATTCTGATTGAAAGACGCCTTTGGAGGAATCAAAGACACCACGCAGAGCAACCTTCTCTCTGTTCTCTGCACAGCGGAGTTAACCAAACCTTCCATCACAAGTAACAACTCCAACCCTGTGGAGAACAAAGACTCAGTGGATTTAACTTGTGAACCAGCAGCTCAGGACGTGACCTACCTGTGGTGGCTAAACAATCAGAGCCTCCCAGTCAATTCCAGGCTGTCCCCAGACAACAGGACCCTCACGTTACTCAATGTCACAAGGGATGAATCAGGACCCTTTGTGTGTGAAACATGGAACCCAGTGAGCACCAACCGCAGTGACCCCTTCACCCTGAATGTTCTCTGTGAGTATCTCTGGTCCTCCATGGCCCAGGCTGCCAGTCCAAATCCACACGGCCAGACCCAGGCCACTCAGTCCCTCTCAGGTCCAGGTATACAGACCCTCACTCCCGGGCACCCAGGCTGGCCATGACTTCCTGCTCCTGGTAACTCAGGCAGGCCCAGTCCTAAGCAAGAGTAGGAGGGAGGGGCTGCTCCTGTCCTGGGAGGCTCAGGGTCAACAACCCTTGATGGGAGAATGTCTCACCCAGGCTGAGGGAGCTCTGCTGTGTTCCCGGCTCGCCCAGTGAGGTGAATGTCTCACCCAGTGTCAGTGAGCACAGGGATTATGGGTGGGACCTTTTATAAGGGTTGGGACATAGCTCAGAGAGAAACTGTGGTCCTTCAATAGAGGAAGGGTTTCCTCTTCCCTTTGATGACATCACATATGGCTTTATTCTCTTTGTCCAGATGGCCCCGATGCCCCCACCATTTCCCCTCCAGGGTCATTGTACATTTTGGGGGCAAACCTCAACCTCTCCTGCCACGCGGACTCAAACCCACCTGCAAACTATTCTTGGCTTATCAATGGGAGTTTCCTGCAAGACACAAAAGAGCTCTTTACCCCCGGAATCACTGTAGAGCATAGCGGATCCTACGCCTGCCATGCCCATAACTCAGCCACAGGCCTCAATGCGACCACAGTCAAGAATATCA